TTAACAATAAATACTTTTTCACATCCAACCCAGTTCTGCGGAATCAGAATTAATGTTGAGTTTAAGCAAGCGAATGAGCCAATTGGAGTAAAGTGCTATGCAGATTTAAATTTTTCCCACTTGTGACGAATGCAGCTATCAATTTATTTTGCATGCTAGCATGCTAGTTAACATTTGTGTCAGCTGTTGGCCAATAGAATCTTCCTGCCTATTCGTGGCAGCCAGCTATAGGCTCTCACTCTGGCCAGTAGAAAATGGCCACAAACTACATGAAAACTGCCATAGAAGCATGAAAAAATCGATTATTTCCACTATCGATGGAAGTTGGGAAATGCAAAGTCAGTCTTGGCATTCCCGCTAACTTGGAGCATGTGCATGTAAATTTTGGTGCAAATCCGTCAAAAATTGCGGCCATGCATTCGTTACACACACACACACACACACACACATCCTGCCTTTTATAGATAGAGATCTGCACTTTTTATTTGCAAATGCCATGCCTTGAAAATTCGATTACGTTATTGATATCAGCCTATATTTTTTCATATTTTTAATGTAAGTTTTTGTTCTTTAGTTAAAAATATGGTACTATGTTAAAAATTTATAAATCTGTTTGTTCTTTAATGACAAAAAATCTTTGAACATAGAATAGGCTTTTCTAGGGGTACTTTCACCCAACAAAGCAAATTGCTATAAAACATTAACCTGAAAACTTGAGTTATATTCTTAAATAACCTCATTTGATCGAGAATTTCATATGGATACCATGCATGGCACCAGACCTATTCAGAAATATCTAAACTATCAGATGTATACAACTACTGTCGAAGATCAGTGGTTAAAAATTGCTTTGAGTGAGTGAAGCCTGTAGGTCTTGTCAAGGACAATACTTCTTTTAACCTTGTGGACTGGCGCCACAGAATCACTGACAAAGAACTGTTCCAAATAACAGAATCCAAATCACTTGAGGAATTTTCAACAGCGGTAACAGTTAAAATGGATAGCACATGTAACTCTAAGAGAAAATAGTGACATAAATAAGATGTTGACATTCTGCTATGTTTCAAACAAAAAGTTAGGAAGGAAACTCCCATTATTTCTGGAAAGAGCAATAACAGTTACTGGACTTGACAAACCTATTATCTTGAAAAATTGTTTTTAAGAGAAAGTTTTTATAATTTTCAACCAACAGCAGTACTGGCTGCTTAGTCATTAAATGCTGAATGTTTCCTTATAAGGAAACAGCTAATATTACCATTTTTGTAAAAAAAACATTTAAAAAGATCAATTTTGCCAAACAATTGCTTGTTTAATATATTTCTTAAAATACATAAAGATGTTTGTTCTTCATTTAAAAAAATCTTTTAAAAAAAAAAAAAAAAAAAAGTGTATTTTTGATACACAGATATCAATGATGTAAGCACAGTTTCAAATTTGACATTTATAGACAAACATTTAGGTTCCAATAACTCTGTAAAAGACAGGGACTGATTTTACACTGTATTGATATTATAAGCAGGACCACCTTTCTAAAACAATAAAAAAAATCAATTGCATTGTCGTGGCCTAAGTTAGTTTTAATGAATGCTAATCTACAAATGAAAGTTTAAGGAATGCTAATCTGCAAAAGAAGGCCTAATGAATGCTAATCTATAAAAAAAGTTTAATGAATGCTAATCTATGCATGAAGGCTTAATGAATGCTAATCTATGAATGAAGGTTTAATGAATGCTAATCTACAAATGAAGGTCTGAGGAATGCTAATTTGCAAAACCTATTTCTCAAAAAAATTTCTAAAGATTTTTTATGAGTGGAGCAATATACTTAAGTAGTGCCGCCTTCTTATTTGTAATGTGTTGTGATATTTCATTACAACAATATCAACAAATTCTTTGAATTTCCCCAGTCACTACTCTTATCATTATTACATAGTTGATGTTTCTAAGGTCTGTTGTTGTTGTTGCTAACCTTGTAGACTCACCTGTGGAATATAGGACCTCACCTTCACCATGCTAGGTGTTGTTGCTATGGTTTCCCTATCAAGTAGATTTCCATTGGTCATTGGGTGCATTCACTAGTGTGTATTTGTATGTGTATTTTATATATATATATATATATATATATATATATATATATATATATATATATATATATATATATATATATATATATACAGAGAGAGAGAGATAATGGACTCTCTCCCAGAAACTGCAACTAAGGTCCGCTCAGGATAGTTACAGTATAAATCACAGGTTGGCTCTGGATGTTGAACAAACACAAATGTGCTTGAGCAGGCATCTGCAACAGGGATTGGCTAGTTGCCCTAGTAGACTGGCATCCTCAAATATGCGTGACCAGCCATTTTATATATCTTGAAAATGAAACAGAACTAGTGCTTTTAATTTAATTGAATTTGAAATTGTTAGTTTCTGTTTTTGAAACATGGTAATTCCTGTGTAGCGAAGGAACCATATTTTTAAATCAGTTAATTTATAATAATATTTATGCTCTGTAAATTTACATTGATCACTGTTTTGTAAAAATAAAAATATGAATAAGAACACCAGATTATATATCTTACTGTTCTTTCTTTTTTACTATAAAATATATAGCCAATAGATTAAATTTAATATTTCCAATAAGTAAAATACTTTGCTGTTTTTCAAAATTAATTTAAATTGACTGGATGGAGTTGTTGTTGTTTTTTTTTTTTTTTAATCAAGTCTACATGAAGTGAGGGATCACTTTTTTTAAAAACAGTCATAAACAGGTCCCCCACGTTTTACTACAGTATATTCAATATATTTTTCTATTCTAAGAAGCTTACTTGTAGGAATGTTTGCCACATGGGAGTTTTTGGGGAGTTTTTTTTTTTAAGCACTAAAAATCAGTAATTTTAGCCATCTGTCAGCATAATGTAATTCTCTTTAATAAAAAAATCTTTCAAAAATAAAATATACTTTTCTGAAACTTTATTTGAGGAATATTAACTGATTTGAAGTTTAATTAATCTGATATCAAACAAATAATACTGGCTTTAAGTTTAAAAAATTTCAGAAATGCATCTTTTAACATGATGGTAGGTGTTTATTTAAGATGTTAATAGCTTGACAGCTTTCACAGCTGGAAATTTAACTAATTTTTTTTAGAGGGAACATATCTGTAAAAATTACTGGAGGAATATAGTGTGAACACCATTTTTATATAATTTTTAAATACCCAAATGTTTTGAATTTTAGGTACTTTGGCTTTAAATTTACTATAGTTATCACTTATTTTCTGATAATGTTGTGTATGGACGACTATTTACAAAAATTGGCACATTTATACACACACACACACAAAAAATTCTTTTTAAAATATTAGGGTTTGCTAAATTGTAATAAGTTTTTCCTTTTATGATTAGTAAATAAAGGTTTTACTTAATAATAATATCACAAAATTATTTTCTTAAGACAATAGTGTCCATAATATATTTTATTAAAAAAAGCAATTAAAAGCTTTTCTAATTAAATAATGTCTTAGTTTTATTTCATTTTTTTTATTTAATGTTTGTTAACTGGAGGGTCCTGTTTTTACAAAAAGAAGTTTGATTTAAGTTCTCCAAGGAGTTTTGTTTATAACGAATATAAACATTAAACTGCACAAAAATGAATTTCTCAAAATTCTAAAATTTTTACGAAGACTTTCTAAAAAACAGACATTTCTAAGATAATTTCATTCTTTTGTGAATACGTCCTGAAAGTTTCATTAAAATCCTACAATTATTTGATTTTTGCTATAATTTCCAAATTAATATTTTTCACTGCAAAAAAGATGCTAAATTTTCCTATATTAATCTTTGAAACAACAACTGTTGATGCAAGAAAAAAAAATTTTACCAACATTTTGAACATTGTAAAAAGGATAAAAAAAAAAATAATTTGACAAATTGACTAATAAAAAATGAAGATGAAAGTAAAGCCTTTAATCAAAAATTTAATAATAATGACAATGCTTGAAGAATAAAAATTGAAGATGAAAGTAAATACTAGTCAAAAATTAATGATTGACAATACTTCATCTAAATACAAAATGAAGATGACAGTAAATACAAGCCACAAAATAATAATAATGGCTGACAATGCTTCATTCAATGAAAAAAAAAATATATACAGATATTACTGTACTATATTTATCTTTATTGTAAATAAAGTTTATTTGATTGCAGCAGAAAAAATGCAAAATTTCCTGTTAGATTTTGGTCTATTTTTAAAATGACTTCAAAATCCCAGTCATAGTCAAGTGGCACAATTCAATATGAATATTTGTAAGTAATTTTTTTATTTCAAATTTATTTTTAACCTTATCAAAGTGTCCCAAAACTTCTCAAGGTCTTTTCATTTTTTTTTATCAGCAGAGAAACTCACATAAATTATTTGACACTGTCTTAATTGATGTAAATATATTATTCTCTTCAGCGTTGTCAAATCTGTTTACTTCTCAAATAACCACAGCTACAAGGTGCAAGTGAAAAGTTTGGATAACCTGAAACACAAAATGGCTTCCTTCAATAAATCAAGAAAAATATTCCAAGAGAATGAAGTTTTGTTTCCTGATCAAGAGATGTGTAAAATTCCTGGTGAAAAGTGAGAAACAGTGGCAACTAATCTAAGAGAAGGAAAACTCTGACTTCAAAAACCATGAAGGCAATGGGGAATGACTCTATAATCTTTCCAATAAACAATCCTTATTCTCCTTAGGCTTATGGCCACATTACAAAACACCACTTCCTGTACGATCACTGATGTTAACCTTTAGCATACAGGAGGAAAAAATTGTTGCCGTAAAATTCTCTCCCTTTGCACACTGTAGCCACATTCTGTCTCCTCAAGAGTGTTGCTATAAATAAACACTTGTCAATTTTTATTTTCAGAAATATTGAGTTCAATGTCGAGTTAGTACCTATATGGATGATCGCTTGCAAATACCAGGTGTTGTAAGCTTGGATGTGTAGGTCTTACAGCCACACCATATTGAAAAACTGGTTCCCATAGGATTACCAAAGTTAAGCAATGTTGAGCATGGTCAGTACCAAGATAGGTGACCACTTGGAAATACCAGTCGCTGTAAGCTTGCATGTGTAGTTCTTACAGCCACATCACATTGAAACGCTGGCTCCCATCCAATTACTGAAGTTAAGCAATGTCAAGCCTGGTCACTACCTAGATGGGTGACCATTTAGGAATACCAGGTCATCTAAACTTGGATGTGCAGATGGTGTAATGGATAATGGCTTGTAATTGTTAATCTGAGAGCTGAGTTCAAATTTCATTATATTCACATACACACAAATATCATTGGGAATAGTATGGATCCACCTCTTCTCCCACCAGCTATTGGTTAATTAGTAAGACTTGTATCACGAAAAACCATTATTATCTCCAAAAATAAAATAAAATTGTGTTCAAAATATTTAGATTTCAGCATTAAATGACCTATAGAGGTTGATATGCTGTTAAACAAAAACAATTAACAATTATTCTCCTTAATAATGCTTTCTTTTTTCTAATATCCTTTCACACTCAGTAACCCCTTGCATCTTAGTGTCTTTATTGCCTTGCTTGAGGTGAAATGATTAAAAAAAAAGTTCTTTGCAATTTACAGCTAGTAAAGAAAAGGAACCTGTGGAGAGCCATGATCACTTATATCCTGAATGGACATGGCATAAAAAACATGTTTTAGATTGTAGTCCTTGTCTTTATACTAATAGAAACATTTTTTATTAAATATTAATAAGCATTGTTACAGGTAAAATAGTAGAGTAGACTTGGCTCTCGAGCCTTAGGTGAAAACCATTCTAGAAGGAAAACTGACTTCAAAACCATGGATGTAATGGGAAACCACTATACTATCTTTTCCAATAAGTTGAGGTAATTCATAGATAATAAACACAAGGAAGCTGTGGAGAGTCATGATTACCTATCTTAAATGAAAGTAGCATAAAAATCAAAGTTATAAATCTATATCTACCTGATCACATATATCATGTATAGGTTGTCTGTAATTATACAGTCTTCTTCAACAATATACAAAATGAAAGGTTCTCAGCCTAACCAAGAGAAAAAAATCTATTTGGTCAGATTTTGGAAAACAGCCGAGAACTTTTCGGTACTCTTTGTGAAATACTAACAAAGTATTAAGATGTATCAGAAGTATTTTCAGCTTTTAATCAACTTTGTTTTTTGAACAATCAGACCTTATAGACTGGAGCTACAAGATCCTTTAAGGAGCCGTTACTAAATAGTAAAAACCACATCACATTCAACAGCAAAAACAAAAATGATTAGCACATGTAATTAGAAGAGAAAAATAATGATATATTTAAGAAGTTAACTTTCCACACTACCAAAAAGAAAAGGATTGGAAGGAAATTGTCGTCAGCATTAGAAAGAGCTATAAAATCTACTGGATTTGAGAAGTCTAACTTCCCAAAAAACTGATTTTCTGTCTGTATTTCTGAGATTGTATTGTAATTATTTACACTATTTACATTGCTAGGACACAAAAATCTCCTAAGTTGACCAAGCATAGAAATAAATACAATATGGGAACCAGTAATACCATGTATAAAAACAATAATAACAAAAATTGTAATATGAGCTCTGGTAAAAAAAATTTACTGAGACATTAAGTTTATAAGTCCCCAAAATCCATACAATGATGTCTTCAAGGACACATAGCCCGGGGGATAAAAGCATTGGTTGGATCCAGGGACTTGACCCAAAGAGTTGTGATTGGTGAACAAAAACTAGGAGATAACTGAGACATCCAGAAGAGGCATGGCACATGGAACTAGAACAATCTACCCCAGTGGATGAAATAAAGGGTTTAGTTTGAAATTCCAATCACCTGAAGAAGGCCAGAGTGTGCAACTGCCGAAACATTGTGAATATGGCAACAAGATGAGAACAACAGTCCAAACAAAGTAAATAAAAAAGATTTTATGAATTTCAACCAACAATAACCCTAAACCTGTATGGAAATGGCTAATTCATCCAATCTTTCATAACGAATCATATAATGAATGTCTTGAATGGCCACTCTTTGATTGATTAGTTTTTTACAGCTTATCAACCCTTTGCAGGTTATTTAAGGCCAGAAAATAATTTTAGATTACAAGAATTTGTGATACAAGTCTTATTAATTAACCCATACCTGGGGGCTGAGAAGAGGTGAACTCATAACTTTCCCAAATATATTTGCATATAGGTGAAGAATTGGAACTTGGCACTCTAATTAATCTTATTTTCAGAAATAACAGCTGACAAGAGTTTATTTACAGCAACCGTCTCGAGGTGATAGAATGTGCTTACAGCATGCAAAAGGAGATAATTCTACAGTGACAATTTTCGCTCCAGTGTGCTAAAGGTTAACAATTTTTTTTCTTTTTGTTTTTTACAGTACAAGGCCTGGGTGCCACTCGAGGTAGAGGGTTATGTTAAAAGTAATGTTTATATTGATAGGAAAGGAAGATATTGGTTGCCTCTAGATTGAACCGGTTAAAATTGTAGTGATTGGGGAAACATCCTCTTGGGAGTCTGTTCCATAGGCAGTGGTTCACAGGAAGAAGCTGTTTGAGTGGAACTTAATTCTCACCAATGGAATACAGGTGGGGGGGGATTTGGGTGGTTTACTACTATGTAAGTGGTATGGCAGGTCCTAGAGGTGAAGGCTAGACCTGGTGGAACAAGAAATCTATTTTGTCCAAGCACTTTCCATGGTAGTAGCAATAGAGGAGTGAGAGACTCACCCCATCCTGCCTGTGGGAGGGAGAGTTTGGGTGGGGGGAATAATTCCAAGCCATTATCTATTACACTACCCATACTTCCAAGCTTACAGCATAGTATTCCAAAGCAGTCACCCATCTAGATACTGACTAGGCTCAATGTTGTTTAACTTCAGTGATTGCACAGGAACCTGTGTTTCAACATGATATGGCCATCACTCTTCTTACATTAATGTGGATGTCTTGCAGAGTTCTATCCTTGGACTTAAATTGTTTCTTATCTTCATTAAAAACCTTCCCAATGTCATCTGTTCCCTAATCAGTATTTGGCTTACATCAGATTGAAACACTGATTCCCATACAGTCGCCGGTTAAGCAATGTTAAGCCTGGTTAGTACCTTGATGGATGAGCGCTTGGGAATACCAGTTGCTGTAAGCTTGGATGTGAGGGTGGTGTAATTGAAAATGGCTCAGAATTGTTAATTGGAGAAATGAATCCCAATTTCAGTTAGTCACTTATGTAAAAATACTTTTGGGAAAGCTATGAATCCTCTTCTTCACAATCCCCCAAATATGGGTTAATTAGTAAGACTTGTATCACTAAATCATTATCTCCAAGAAAATAAAGTTGTGTACAAAATATTTAGATTTCAGCATTAAATAATCCATAGAAGTGTTGATATGCCGCTTAACAAAAAACACCAATAAACCCACCTAATCGGTATTTATGCTGGTGACACAACTATTTACTTCTGCCTTAATAGTAGGCCCAATGAAGTAAAACTGGTAGCTGATCTTGAAATGACCTCCAATCAGTTGTTAACTGGGGCAAGAAATGGCTTGTTAATTTTCATACATCCAAAACAACGCTGTTATCTTTTAATCATCATAGAGAACTCTTTTAGCCTTCTATCAATATGGCTGGTGCTAATCTCTAGAATTGAATCAATCACTAGGTCTGCTGTTTTTTGGGGGGGGGTTTAGCTTCCAATCTTACAATCTAAAAACATGTTCCAGCTTTAAAGAAACTGCGAAAGGTTGATAAGCTATAAAAAAACAAATCAATCAATCAATCAATCAATGACAGTAAATTCTAAATTAGTGTCTTTCATTTTGTTATTCATATAGTTTAAACATTAAGGTTTTTCAAACTCAGTCTAATTGAAATTTGTTGAAATGATGTGCTATTATCAACATGCCTTCAGAAAGTTTGAAGTTTTCTGGAATCAAAAAAGGAAACTTAATTTTTTTTTTTTTTTTTTTTGTTTTTTTTTTAAGATTTTGAAATTAGAGCACTTTTAATACATTTTAGACTTATTAAATTTAATTCTCTTAAATTGCTTCCTCATATGTGTGTGTTTGTAGGATGTTTAATAGTATCTGAAAAACAAAAGTGTAAATGATGAAACAGTGGAAAAGGTTTAAGCAGCACATTAAGCTTTTTAATATCATTCTTGAAAAACAAGAGAAAATCATCATGTTGTTACATATTCCGTTTATTTCCGAGTACTTTCAACATATCACAGTATCATCATCAGAGTATTGTTTATTACAGGACAAATATTGTAGTGTTCATTATTGTGAAAGGCAAAATTGTTGTGTACATCTGGAAGTTAAATTTCTTATATGTGGCGTGAGGAATGCTGAGTCAGTGACATCATTTAAGGGGAGGTTAATAATTGTGGTGTTGAGAGTTTGTTTATGAAATGGGTAGTAAAAAAAAAAAAGAAACTATTAATACAAACCTTGGCATTTCAAACTATTATACATATTTTAACCAAAAAGCTTATCCGTGAATATGAAAGGATCCTACTGAAAATAAGTAGACAGAACATGTCTAAATTATTCAACGAAACATGTCTCAATAAAAACATCCTGCTGAAATACACACACACACACACACATACATATATATATATATATATATATAGAGAGAGAGAGAGAGAGAGTGCGATGGATAAATTGTCATCTAAATTATGCAAAAATTAAAATAACACTGATCTCTCATTTTAAGAGATATATTTACCAAAATTACACAAAAATATTTTGAAATACTAAAATGTAAATTTATTCAGAAAAAAATCACCATTGATTTTAATCACAGCCTCCAGACGTCTTTGGAATCTCTTGCAACTCCTCTGGATGGTCTCGTTGTTCAAGTTGGGGGATGTTGCTATAATCCTTGCTTTCTTTTCATCTTTGGTGTTACAAGGAGTTTTGTTGGTCTCTTGCTCAACTGTGCCCCACACATAATAATCAAGCAGTCTGGGGAGTTAGGTTGCCAGATGTAAAAATATATATATATATATAAAGAAAATGTTTGTAGACATAGGAATCAACACTGC